ACCCTACCCACAGGAGACTCGATGAGATGGCTGCCAGACAGAAACAGCGTGAAGAGGAAGCCGAGGCCCGTCGGTTGGCCCGTAAGACAGGTGCTCCTGAACCCGAGCCCGCTGCTGCCGCGCCTGCTCCTACTGAGCGCACTGCTCCCCGTCTCAACCTGGCTTCTCGCACTGCTGCTGCTGGTGGCGGTGGTGGCTGGAGAGAGCGCCAGGCCGCCAAGGAGGCCGCTGCTGCTTCTGGAGCCCCCAGCAGCGCCGCGCCCGCCGAGTCGGCTCCCGCGCCGCGGGAAGAGGCTCCGGCTCCGCGTCGCACGGGTGGTGGCTACGTGCCTCCTCACCTCCGCTCTGGCGCCAGTGCCACCCCGGCCGCCGCTCCTGCTCCTGCCGCCGCTCCGGCTGCCTCGTCGGAGCGTTGGGTGCCCCGTCACGCCCGTGACTCCAGCTCTTCCCAGCAGCAGCCTCCTTCCCGCACTCAGACTCCTGCTTCCGAAGAGTCCAAGCCCGCCGCCTCCTCCTCCGCGGGTGGTAAGTGGGTGCCCAAGTGGAAGCAGCAGCAGGGCCAGTAGATATCCTCTTCTTCCTACTAGCATGTTTTCTTTTCTCTCTCTCATATGACATGACCGACTTTTGATCTTAAAAAAAAGTTTTTCTCTTTTTAAACTTTCTGGGAAAGAAGCAAGAAAGAAAAGAAAAAAAAATAACCCATCCTCTCGTTACAGAAAAAGGGGGCGTGTATGTGTCGTTGCGTGCGTGATTGATATGATGATGATGATGACGATGATGAAACCATCTCTCTCCATCTTTATTTCTTCCCTCTCCTAAAATCTCCCTCCTCCCCTGTCTACTCTCTCTCGACCCTTTTTGTCTCCTCTTCTTTTTTTTTTCCATCTTTCTTCTTCTCTTCCCTCGGACATAAAAGAGATACCGTCATGTCCCATTTCCCTCCCACTACTACTCCAACCCTAGGATATGATTTTGTTTATTCCGAGAAACAAAGAATAACGGATTCAGGGGACCTCAATGCTCTTCCAAGTTTCTTTCTCGACATAGTTGTAGTTAGTCGTGTTCTCTTGCTGTTGCGGTTTATCTAATTTGTCTGTTTTCCTTCTCACTATACTGGGCATATCTTCTTTCAAATGTTGAACTAGATGCATACATCCCATGGGTGTCTTATATTCACCGAAACTTTTCTTTTGCGTAAGGTCTCTCGTGTAGATGCATGGTTTTTCCAACGGTTCTCTCTATTTAGTATATGCATCATCGCCTATGATTGCTGACAGAAGCGATGCTTGCAAGAAGAAAAAACAAGTCCATTAATGAATCATCCCAGGGAGGGAGAGCGCACATAACTGATAGCGGAAATCTCAAGATAAAAGAACTTCGACCAGCGGAAGATGGGAAACGATGACAACAAGAACCAAGAAAAGGGCTCTCAACTGCATAAAAGCTTATAGCGTAAGAAGGTAATGTCTATATACTTGATAGAGAAAAGAAAATAGTAAGGAAAGAGGAGGGACGATGCGGTGTGTATCGTCGGAAAGGGGAAAAGGAAATAAGTCATGACAATCTAACGGGTGCAATGATCTTCTTTTCTGGAAACGACGGGTTAGATCAAAGATATGTTTTGTTTATGTGCTTTCCTTGAGAAGAAAGGTTTGAGATTTCATCACATCACGCGGCAGCTACTTCGGCTCCAGGGGTAGCAGCGGTCGCTCCCGCAGCCTCTCCAAAGAGCTTCTCCCGCCATTCGCCGCAGACCGCCTCAAACCCACTGACCACGTCGCCGCAGACTCGCCCGGCTTCGCGGTCGCGGAGACGCCGGTCCCAGTCCCCGCGTTCGATCCACCGCGTTCCTTCCTCGCGGCCCTCTTCTTCGCGGCGGAGCTCCGCCACCAGTTCCCGCGCGGACCGGAGTCGTCGCGAGGCGGTGGCGGTCAATTGTCGGGATTCGTACAGCGTATCGCTCAGGCCCCGGAGGGAGAGGGTGATGTCGGACGTCTGCGAGACGAGACTCTGAAGGGAGACGAGCGGATTGAGGGCGGAGGACTGCGAGGGGGTGGTGGGCCGGGAGGAGGAGTGACGGGGCTGGTCGGGGAAAGGGTAGGGAAGGTTCGGTAAGAGTTCTCCGTCGATGAGCGGGATGAGTGCATCAATGGCATCCTCAGACAGGAGCGGGAACGGTGAGAAGAGGAGGGGGTGGATGAGGGTTTGGAGGGCCCGCGTTTGGTGGGTTAGATGCGACGTGATGGAGGAGTGAGCGGTGATGAGTCTGGAGGGTATCTTGCGTCAGTAACACCCCCACTACAAGAAGGGCTACTACATAAACGTACCGCATGGCATTGTTCTCGATGCCGCTCTGAGCGCCCAAATCCCGCAACGCCTCCACCGCTCGTTGGATCACGTAGTCATTCTCACTGCCGTTGTTCTCAATGCCTCGTCGAGCCAGACTCTCGATCTCCGCCATCTGTGTTTCCAGACTCGGGGGCATATCGGATTCCTCAAAGTCCGAGTCGTTCCCGTAGTCGGAGCCATCGTACTGCGACTCGTAGCGGCGGTGTTGGCGCTGGGTGCCATTGCGCGTTTTGGGCCGCGGGGGTTGCAGCGTGGAATTCCGCTCCGGGGAGTACCCGGATGACGGGGTGCGTGTATGGTGGTTGTATGCAGCTTCGTCCTCGCTGTGGGGCGCGTATTGTGCGTGGTTGGGAACCCCGGTGTCCTGCCCGGAGGCGTAACCTCCGTAACCCCCTTCCTCCTCCTCCCATGCGTCGGCCAGCTCATCCGCTAGGTTGCCCAGGCCGCCTCCACCGGCCGCGCCGCCGAAGTCGACCGACATCCGGTGCGATTCATTGATGCTGTTGGCACGCTGCGGGCGCGATTCGATGGGCGAGGGCGGGGCGGATGAACGAGGCGTGCGAGGCGACCGAGGCGACTGATAAGAAAATCCGTTGGGAGCGTAGGTGCCTGGTGAAATAGGGTCGAAGTCGATGTTGGACGATCGACTCCGGGTATGGCGGTGAGATAAAGTCAGGGGAGGGGGTATGGCCGGCATGAATGCGGATGTTGATGAGTTGGAAGAATGATTGAGTGTTGTAAAGAAGTTCTGTAATCTGATGGAGTAGCAGGAGGTCTATCCTCGAGTGAGCAGAGAAAAGTAGTCGGGAGTCGTCTCAGAATTCGTCAAGTGGGCTGCTGCCACGGGGGTAAACAACAGGGGAAAATTAATATGGGAGGATCGCCGACCGCATCACCAGGATGAGTAGAAGAAAGGACGAATGAGTGTCAAGTAGTGGACAATGAAGGGAAAGTAGACAGTCGAATGTCTTTTGGATTGAGGGGTTTAGTCGTTAAGATCGGAGCATGAACGAGGGGAAGGAGAAGGAGAAGGGGAAGGGGAAGGGGAAGGGGGGAGAAGGTATGGATAAAGAAGAATATTGAAGCCAAAAACAATAATCAGTTGGTTTAATGCCTGCCAGCCTGCCTGCCTTCCGCTGCCCGCCGCCCAATTCTCAGCCCGTGACCGCCTACAAGCCCCTCTGATTTCATTGCCCTCATTCCTTCCCCGCACCATTTCGAGAAATTGTTTTGACCTCCGACGATCCTGCAGTGCTTTCTCCAATCTCTGGATACACTTCTTCTTTCTACATTTTAGCTTCCTACCTCTCTTTCCTTCTCTCATAGAAGCTCAATTCCCCCCCAATAACCATCCCATCAACCCCAAAGCAGCCAGCCACAATGTCCTCCATCCGCCGCATGTCCCCAACGGACCTCCTCTCCCTCAACCTCACCAACCTCGACCCATTGACCGAGAACTACGACCTGGGCTTCTACCTGAACTACCTCATGCGCTGGCCCTCCCTCTTCAGCAGCGTCCAAGACCGTCAAGAAGGAATCGTCGGCTATAGTAAGCCACCCCTCCCAAAAAGAGCATAAAGAATCCCAAGCTAAACAGCACGCACCAATCCCCAGTCATGGGCAAACTCGAAGAACAGCCCGCGCACATGCGCCACTCGGAACACTACACGCCCTGGCACGGTCACATCACCGTCCTGACCGTGGCGCCCGCATGGCGCCGGCTGGGCCACGCGCGCCGCCTCACCGAGCGCCTCGAGCGGGGCTCCGATATCAACGACGCCTGGTTCGTGGATCTGTACGTGCGCGCCGGCAATAAGGTCGCCGTGGATATGTATAAGGGGATGGGGTGCGTATTCTTTCTCTTTTGCCCTTGGGGTTTGGTGGTGGTGGTGGTGGTGGTGGTGTTCATGCTAATGTTTCGGGGGGCTTCGCAGGTACTCGGTCTTCCGGCGCGTGGTGGGGTATTACAGTGATGATCCGTCGGGGATGTCGGAGACGGGCGAGGATGCCTTCGATATGCGCAAGCCGTGCAGTCGCGACAAGAATCTGCAGCATGTGCGGGAGAAAGGGGAGGAGTTCTTGGTTGATCCGGTGGATGTTTCGTGATGGGGGGTAAAAAGTGGGCATGGGGGAAGTTCTCGGCTTTCGTTCTTCCATGAGGGCGGTGATATGTACATTGTTGAGTGTTGGTGTGGAGGTTGCCCTACAGTAGCGAGAGATGTTATGTTTGTGCTTGGTTGTTTTCTCGCAAAAAGCTTGGTGTTTGGGCGTTGACAGATCCGATTCGATTTCGATGGCAGTCATCCTGGGATTGATTGTGTGAGACTACGGTTTATAACTGTAATTCGTGGCTACAGGCCATGCAAGCGAGTAGTACGGTAATCATATATGCATTTTGAGGTATGTATCGTAGGATGATGCTGCAAATGTCTCTTTTCCGTCCCGCAAATCAAGTCAACTTTTGTTTCTATAACGCCTGCTTTCCCATTATGCGAATGAATGGTATGACCCAAAAACGTAATTCAGAAGATACCAGCGTATTATGATATGCTCACTATAAGCAGAGTGCCACACAAGATCGTGGCGACATCGAATTTCTCATAGCTAGTCGGTCTGCGGTGCTTCGCGTTCATTATGAATCACGAAAGTTAAGCCCGCACCAGGAAATGAGGACCAGTGCGAGTATACCGCAGGGCCGCGAAGATAGCCGAGGAGGTGATGAGGCAGCACCCGGTAAAGAGCTGCACGCCCAGATATTTCCCGGTGTTGCTGAGAATTGCTCCGCCGATGGGCGTTCCAATCAGCAGACCGACGGAAGTCACCGCGAAGAGCATACCAAGACGGGTTCCCAGGTCACGGATGTCTTTGGTTATAGAAGCCATCACCACCGGAGGGAGAGAGACAAAGCCGCCGGAGCAGAGACCGTACAAGACAGACAGGACGATGATGCCGGGGACGTTGTGAACACCAATCCAGGCGAAGGCCAGGATGGCAGTGGCCGTTGCAGCAGGCAGAAGCACGTTCATCGGTCCAATGTGGTCGGCGATGAAGTTGGGGCAGATTCGACCAAAGGTCGAGCCCGCATTCAGCATGGAAAGCAGGTAAAAGCCCAGGTTGGCGTTGACGATCTTGGTGTCGATGGCATACGACTGGATGTAGAAGAGGAAGTTGTAGAATCCCAGGAAGCCCAGGAACATTCCGACGCAGAACATGGTGAAGACTGGCTCCTTGAACGCCGACAGCTGCACGAGCTTGCGCTTCTCCTTTGGAGGGAATCGCATGCGCATGATGCAGAACGAGATGCAACAGGTTCCAAAGGACAGAAAGCCCACGGCTCGAGTGGCCCATGCAAAACCAGCCCGCCGTTGCAACTGGTCGAACATGATAGGGTAAATCACGCCACCAATGCTGCTCCCCGATGCGGCCAGTCCGTTTGCCAATCCTCGCTTCTGCTTGAAGTACTGGGGTAGGATGGCGACAGACGGAACGAATAAGCATCCAGCGGAAAGACCGAGTAGGATACCTTGGCATAAGATCAATTGCCAGAACTTGGTAGACAGACTAACCATCATAAGGCTGAAGGGCAGCATGATGGTACCGAACCCCAAGAGCGCACGGAAGTATCCTGCGTCAAAAAGAGGGCCTGTCACCACGCCAAAGAGCATGAGGAGGAAAGCCTGCAGCGATCCAATCCAGGCGATCGAGGAGGAGGACATGTGCTTCAATGTATTCTCTTCATAATATGTCTGGAACGCACCCCAAGTGTTGATCACTCCCCTAAAGCAAGTCAGCAGCCCGCAACGACAGGGATTTACTTTACGGTAGCAGAACATACCATGAGTTGAAGAACAAGAACCAAGAACCTATCACCTGGATCCATGATATGAGACCGGTATCGAAGGTCGGCTCTAAGACTTTGTCGTCCGACTGAGAGACAGGGATTGTATGGCTGCCATTTTGATCAGTGGTGCTGGGAGACTCTGCGGAGACCTTCTCCTTCAGATCAGCATGGGTTCCCATCTTCCGCCACGATTACTTGGGGCTCGAGATAATCGTCGCGTGGAAGGTCAGCGTCAAAGGCAAGGTAGAGGGAAAGACCGACAGCGTTTGCAATCTTGACACGGCTACAGCAGTCGTGTAGTGACACAAGTATGGAGGCACTGCGAGCAACGACCTGGCACTGCTGATCCCTTGAATATAAAACTGTTGAGCAAAGGTCCGAGTAGGTGGCAGCGTAGTATGATTAATAATGTAATTTTTTTCGGGGCCACGCCCTAGGACTAAGCTTGGAGGCTAGAAAAGTAGAAAGAAAAGCAGACTGCATTAGAGAAAAAGCCGGTCCAGGGGTCCACTCAAATTTGGCTAAGCCGTGTTGACTCCAGCGACTTGGAGATGGTCAAACGACCAGTCAAGAGTGAATATGGGTTGCCAATGGCCTGATGGCTCCATCGTGGGAGAGTATCCTACTGGACGTCCGGAGGGTGGGTTCCGGATTTGAGGATGGAGACTCTTGCCGAGGGAGGAGTCCTTACCCCAGGGCCCATCGACCGCATCTTATCTCGGTGATAGCTGGCAATACTACTACTTGAAGGTAGAATTGTTCGTCAGATGACAGAAAAGAGGGGTATGGACTATGACCCTGAGATCCTGATCCTGGAGAAGAGGAGACCTATAACCCTGTGCCGTCACTGCCGGGCGTTCGAATGGTCTTCTTGTGGCCAAATTATGGCATGGAGCTCGTGCATTAGCAGGACGATCAAGGCGCATATTGGCGAGGAACAGGGGTCAGCAGCGTGCCGATTTATCCAGGCGGAGGAGGAGTTCGCGGAGTCTCAAGTTCTCGAGAATTGAGACTAGTCTGATTATTTTGAATTCCGACGCAGCAGGTTACACTGATTCCGTACCGGCACTGGCTGATAGAGGACCGTCTGGTGGATCATGAGTCAATGAGTAAGGCCGCGGCACGAACCGACTTTTCAGTCCATCCACGCACGCACGCACACTTACGGAGTACATTTGCTCCACTTCCCTTCAACAGGCAGGTCATCCCGGTTATCATGGTGCGTATAACTTGCTGAGGAACCCGCCACTTGGGCTGAAGTGAGACGGATATAGCAAGTGAAGGCGATAATCTGGAGAAAAAGATGCGAGAGAGATTGAATGGATGTGATGGAGGAGTGAATGGTTGAGCGGTGGAAATAGGTTAGGTACAGTACAGTACCCGGCGAGTACAAGTAGTTACTGAAATAGGCAAGGCGGAGTATGGCAGAGGATTTTTTGCTTGGCTGATAGAAGAACTGCACCTCAACTATTACCGCATTTCATCAAGTATACTGTTTCAAGTTATCGATTCAATGGACAGTAGTACTCGGAATATATGCGTGACATCAGTTGGAAGCCATATTCAATCTCCGTACTGTCGTTAATAACTAGAGGTGAGCTGGCGCCTCGTGCTTTACATGATCTATCATATGCCGCTCATGGTGAGGATCGAGCTATGCATGGATACCTTGTGTACTGAGCTGAGCACATCATCAACGAAAGACCAATGATTTGACTTGACTATCATCGGATTCCAACTAGATTGTCTACCGGTACGGCTGAGTTGCGGTCAAGGTGTGCAGTAGCGAGCAGAATGCGCCAGATATAGCTATTAGCGGACCCGAGCTCCAAAACAAGTCTGTCAACATCAATGGATTTTTTTTTTCGTATTTTGCCGTTATAAACTGCAGTGCGTTATCCTTGTGTGCTTTTTTGGTGCGCTCGTCCTAGTAACCTAGGGATTGCTCAAGCCTTTCTGACTTGCTTCCCTACTCCGAAACTCCAAACGCTATGCTGCCCAAGAGAGAAACACTTAGACCGTGACAATTATGAAGCAAGAAAAGACAAGAGAAACCATTTATCAATGTACAGCCATCCATACCGTCTTCACCCTTTTTTTACAACAGCTCCTCGCACGTCCAGTCCTCATACCTGTGGACGGAGTTAGATGTGGCACTCTGGGCTATTTACTGGACAGATCGTGCTTACCATCCATCAGGCAGATATCTCCGCACGATGAGAGGAATCTTCTTCTGGTTGAGTTCCTTGATGGCGATCTGCAAAGGATCCGTTTCGCCCTCAAGGTCGACAAGCACCGGAGCGTTCATACTGATGTTGCGGTCAGATTTACTGAGCACTCTTCCATTCTGTTTGGAGACATGTCCAAGACCAACCTGATTTGCAAAGCTCGGGTTCCCAAGACACGCGCCCGCTCGTACTTGGTCATGTATGGGGTCGTCGTGCGCTGGTCGTTGGGCACCTTCTTCTCCCGCGCCTGCTCCATCACCTTGCCTGAATAACCGGCATTCGGGTCGCCCGAGACAACAACACGGTCGCCATTCACGGCCGGCGCATAAGATTCGCCATAGTCGTCACCTCCCTCTGGATCCAAATCTTCGGGGTTGAGGAAGTCCTCGGGCTCGTTGTCATCGTACTCCTGCTCCGCGGGCTCGTAGTCGTAGCTGCAAGATAGGAGAAGATCAAAGTCAGATCATCATACGTTCTCTCTAGATCCAAAGACAGCCGTTCACCAACTGCGCGAATCCCTTGGTGCGCAATGCTAGCTACAGGTCATATCGAGGAAGCTCTTACTTATCCTCATCGCCGTGATCGCCGTAGTCCGACATGGTGCCGATCGAGATCAATTAAGACCGTAGACAAATGGATTGACCGTAAAAGAGACGAGAAGAGGCGCCGAGACCGCGACGGGATGAGTTGAGGCGAGACAAGGAACGATGCGACAGCCTTGCTTTGTTGAGGTGCAGAAATCGTAGTTTGCGGACCTCCAAAAGGCGGAAAAAGTTCCTGTCGTTTCGTCCGGAACTAGTCCGTTTTGGGACATATCCACTCACCGCTTTGGCAAAATTTAATCTGCAGGGCTTCTCTTTCCGGTGTTTTTCTCTTCCCTCGATCGTCGATGCTTCATCTCGTCATCCTTATCATGCTATTGAGCATTTGGGATCGATGAGGTAGCGGGTGACGGAATAATGAGTCAAAAAAGAAAGGCGACCGGGGACCTCCCGAGCCCGAAAAGGCTACAGAAGCTACCGACGCTGGACGATGATGTCGGTACGATAGAGAACATACCGCCGCTGCGATAGCATGCCCTTGCTAATACTCACACCCCACAGACCCGATTTATCGGGAGAAAGACTCCGATGCCGAATATGCGTATTCGGACAGTGACAGTGAAGCGGGCGACAGTCTTCACGATACGCCTGCAACGCCCATGTCGACAACGTCCTCCAGATATCCTTCCGAGCTGAAAACTCACCGCTGCCCCTTCGATGGTTGCACCAAGGCGTTCAACCGTCCAGCACGACTTCAAGAGCATCTCCGCTCCCACAACAACGAGCGTCTCTTCCAGTGTCCTCACGATGGCTGCGACAAGAACTTCCTCCGAGCATCCCATTTGAACCATCACGTCAAGAGCGCCCACACAGGGATCCGAGACTATGTCTGCGATCGTCCCGGCTGTGGAAAGAGCTTCGTGACAGGCTCCCGTCTCCGACGACATCTAGCTGCGCACGACGGGCGGGATAAGTACCGATGTACAGAGTATCCGCCCTGCGACGAGACCTTCCGAAAACACATGACCCTCCAAAAGCACATTCTGAGCGCCCATCTCAACCAGAAACCTTTCCCATGTGCGCATGTTGACCCAGCCACCGGCCAACGATGTTCCATGGCCTTTGATACCGCCGGGCACCTCCGCGCTCATGAAAGCCGAGTCCACACCGAGAAACGCTTTACTTGCGCCGAATGCGCTCAGCGTGCGGATCTCGAACCAACCACCACGAATACCACAGCAGCAGCAGGAACAGCAACGTTCCCTACCTACGCCCTCCTCCAAGCGCACATCCGCGCCGCGCATCCACCACAATGCCCGCACTGCCCACTCACCTGCTCCACCACCCGCGAACTTCGCCGCCACCTGGAAGTCGCCCACGGCAACGTCCCCCTCTCGGACCGCAAAGTCTTCCCCTGCACCGTCCCCGGATGCGACAGCAGCTTCACCAAGAAGGGCAACCTGACTGTGCATGTGCGCACCGTCCACCAGGGCGAGAAGCGGTTCGTCTGCGGAGAGACTGACCTCTCGGCGTCGAAGCGCGTCGCCGGCTGGCCCGGCGGTGCCGCCCACGGCTGCGGCAAGCGCTACGGGAGCAAGCTGGCCCTTGAGGAACACATTCGCACGGCACACATGGGATTTCCGAACGCCAAGGCGGAACGGCGCCAGCGGCTGGGCTTGGCGCCGAAGGTCTCCGCCCAGCAGCGTAGTAATGCGGCCGCAGCGGGTGCAGGAGCAGGACCGTCGGCGTTGGCGGCGCTGACGGGCGCCGGTTACGCCGAGGAAACGGGCCGCCAGATACCGTGCATGCACGGAGGGTGCGCGCATCGCTTCCACCGGAACTACGACCTCTGGGTGCATATGGGGAGCAAACATGGGTGCTCGGAGGATGAGATTCGAGACCTGTTCATGCAGAGAGCCTTGCTGGCGGAGGATGGCGAGCAACAGTCCTCTTCTACTACGACTGCAGCCACGACAACAGCGGCGATGATGGGAGATCTGTTTGGGCTGTACGGATTGGAGTTTGACAACGACGACGATGGGCCAGGCTACGAGCCGTATGACCTTAGTGGCAAGTCAATTGCTGCCGGCCCAGCGGTTCAATATGGGGATGGGGAGGAGAGTGGTGGTGGTGGTGGTGGTGGTGGCTATACGGCGGGAGGGGTTCCCTCTCATAATGACATGATACACGATATTGATTCCAAGATACCCAGCGCGGCGAGTCCTACTGTTGATGACCTGGCGATGATTGATCCTTTGTTGGAGTTCAATAACATGGCGGCATAAAGAAAAGTTCTGATTCTTTTGGGAATGATCTAGATACTATTTCGGGGCTCTTTTTTTCCTTCTCTCTCTCTTAGATTATGGGATACCATGGCTGATCACTTCCGGGAACTTAATCGAAAAGCTT